GTCCACTGGCAACAGTATTAGTAAAGCTCTCCTCTCCCATCTACCAATGAAATCACAGGACCAGGCCACAAAAGACAGTTGTTGATCTGCATTGATAATGGGAGTTTCCTCCTTGGGGGAGGCTCATACTAATGGAACAGTTTGTACAAAAAACCCAACAGACAATCAGCAAACCTTCCATATGGGCATCGATGTAGGGAAAAGAGTATGGGGTTTGGGGTCGAGAAAGAACAAAATTAGTAAGCATGCTATCATTACCTTTATCTAAATTATCTAAATTACTGATAACAAGCATCAAACCAAGCAGGGCCAAACACAGATCCTTGAGGCACTCCACTAGAGACTCTGGCTGTGTGGACATCAAACCATTAACAATGACTCTTCAGGTTCCTCCATTTAAACAGTTCTAAATTCACCTAATTGTACTGGTATCTAGCCCACCTCTTCCCTGTTTCCCTAGAAATAGCCTGAGAGACTTTATCAATTGTTTTGCTTAAAAACAATGGCTCTGGAGTCAGAAAATCCTTAAGGTTTAAATCCTTCTTCTGCTACTTATGGCCTGTGTGACCTTGGGCCAGTCCCTTCCCCTCTCTGGGCCTCAGATTCCTCCTCTGTAGAATGAAGGGGTTACACTAGATGGCCTCAGAGGTACCTTCCAGCTCAAGGTCTAGGAAGCAATGAGCCAATGATCTAGGTCATGTGTATTGACAGTGTTCCCCTGACTTACCAGGCTAAAAAACTTGCCAAAAAGGGAGAATTTTGCCAGGAATTCAAGTCAAGCTTAATGGCTTAGAGTTCACAGACACCATTTTCCTTCCTTTGGAAAATCGACATTTGCCTTCTCCAACTGGGTGGCAACTCTCCTCTTCTCCACAGTCTTGCCAAAGACCCCTGCTAGAGACAGCTGCCCTGAAATCCCACCCATCAGTTCTTTCATTATTCTGAGCTATGGATGGAACTCATCTCAATGGGCTATTCTCAAGGTACTCAGTTCAAGATTCATGCTTTAATGTTATTTTATTTTAAATCACTCATTACCTTTGAACTCCTTGGGGAAAGGTTAGAGAAGTCCCAAAGGTGCAACGTGTCACAAATTGGATTTCTGAAGTCAGATGCCCATAGAAGTAAACAATCATCCAGATGTGTAATACTGTCCATAGCTTTCTCTTAGTTTAATGAATAGTAAAACCCCCTACTGAAGGTCAGAAAGCATACTCTCTATCTCAAATCTGAACTCGATCTAGCCTGAGCGAGCTGATCAATTCATGTGACTTCTAAGGGAGGATTAAATGTTCTATGTTCATTTTAATTTGATGTATTATTCCAGGGCTTTGCAAAGAAAACGCACAAAAGCAGCATATGCTGGCCTCAGGTTGGCCCTTAGTGGGCCTGCCTAGATTAAGATCATTAGGATTCATATCACCATGCAGCCAGAAACTCAGGAAGTGCCCGCTCAAGCAAACAATGACACTAGGGGAACATAGGAATCGCTATCTAAGGAAGAAAACACATTTGTTTACATCTCGATAAATTTCCTCTAGAAGGGCTATGGAAAAATAGGAGAAAAGCTAGATTGTCTTTAGGTTATAAAGAGGGAAGGGGAGAGGAGGAGGAAGAGGAGGAGGAGGAGGAGGAGGAGGAGGAGGAGAGACAAGGAGGGAGATGGATGTCTGGAAAATACCAACTCAGGTCTGAAATGATGATCACAGGGGGGCTGGAAAATATACGGTTTGATTTTTCAATGCTTCTCTATAGATGGCCACACCCAATAACCAGAATTATACTGCTGGAAAAAGGCACTTGGAACAAAAAAGGAGGGGGAACTGAGGATGGATGGAAAAAACAAAAATAAATATCCAAATACACACACACACACACACACACACACAAATTCTTTCTCAAGTCTATTTCCTTGAAGAGGAATGGGTTGTTCCTTCACAATAATAATCGATAGTATTTATATAGTGCTTTGAGATTTATAAAGCACTTTATGGATATTACCTCACTTAATCCTCACAATAGCCCTAGGAGATAGGTGCTATCATTATCCCCAATTTACAGATGAGGAAACTGAGGCTGTGAGGGGTTAAGTGACTTGCCCAGGGTCACACAACTAGTAAGTAGCTGAGGCCAGATTTGAACTCAGGTCTTCTTGACTCCAAATGCAGGATTCTCTTTATTCACGATGCCTTTCTACCTGGTTCTTTACCAATTGCATGCATGCTGAACCCTACTGAAAGGAGTCACACAATGAAGCTGAATGGATCCACTACCAATTACAGTGTTGTCTAATCTCAACCGGGCCCTCAACGTCATGAGGCAGCCTTTTGACTCTTTCTCAACTGGCCACCCAGTCTACTCCCCACTACAACTGTTTTAGACCTTCTCTTCTCTCCTCAAATCATTCACACCTTACCCTGTCCCCTCCCTCTCATAGGACCTCATTTCTAGTGTCCCGGGAAATCAAGGCCAAAGGTCATGAGGTCCTCTTTCTCCCTCACTGCACAACCCAAATCCCTTCAACATCATACCCCATCATCTCCTCCTCTGCCTCAGTCTCTAAAAGGGATGCTTATCCTTGCTAAGTATAACTATCCCTGCCCCCACCAATGTAGCCTTCATTCTATCCCTTCTCCTCTCCCCCAGGATTCTGCCCTTTCAACAATTCCTATCTACCTATAAACATGTCCAAAGCTCTCCCATCCTAAAAAACCAGAACAACAATAACAACAAGAACTAACCCTCCACTGGACCTGGTCATTCCCTCAAGTTATGCTTCTATTTTGTTGTTCAGTTGTTTCAGTCATGTCTGACTCTCCATGACCCCATTTGTCATTTTTCTTTTGGCAAAGGTACTAGAGTGGTTTGCCGTTTCCTTCTCCAGGGCATTTTACAGATGAGGAAACTGAGGCAAACAGGGTGAAGTGACTTTTCCAGGGTCACACAGCTAGGGAGTGTTGGATTTGAACTCAGGTCTTCCTGACTCCAGGCCCAGTGTTATATCCACTGAGCCACAAGCTGCCTCTTATGCTTCTATATCTCCCCTCATTTTCACTGCTAAAAAAGCCCATCTATACTCATTGCCTTCACTTCCCTAAATCTCACTCACTTCCCAACCTCCTGCATCTGGCTTTGGCCCACACTGCTAGACAGAAACTGCTCTCTCCAAGGTCACCAACAGTCTCTTAATTGCTAAACCCAATGGTCTTTTCTCAGTCCTCATTCTTTTGAACCATTTTCATTGTTTAACAGGGTTGATGAGCTACCATTCCTGAATTCTTTCTTGTCCCTGGTCCTCCTCCTAACTGTCTGACTCCTCCTTCTTAGTCTCCTTTGCTGGATCTTCTTCCAGGTTATGCCCTCTAAGTATGAGTATACAAGAGGGCTATGCCCTGGGCCCTCTTTTCTTCTGTTCTCCTTCTACTATCTCTTGCTTAACCTCACCAGTTCCCATGGGGTCTAATCATCTCTAAGCAGATTACTCCTAGACAGACATATCTAGTTGGCATCTCCTTCCTGTCCTCTAGTCCCATGTTACCAAATGTTTAGTATGCATATCCTCCTGGCTCTATTATGGGCATCTCAAATGCAATACATTTAAAACAGAATTCCCAAGCTATCCTCCCAAGTCCCACCCCTCTTACAAACTTCTCCAACAACATCACAAGTACCACTCACCCGTATCCTTCCATGGACCTGGGTTTGCAATGTCAAAGTCATCCTTGCCTCTTTAATCTCCACTTAGCACCCACCTCAATTCAAGCCCTTGTGGCCTCTCACCTCCACTAACCTCCCAAATGGCCTCCTTATCTGCAGTCTCTCCCCTCTCCATCCCATCTTCCACACAGGTGCCAAAATGATATTCCTAAAACACACGCCCGAATATATCATTCCCTCATTCAAGATAGTTCAGTAGCTCTCTATTGCCTCTAGGATAAATAACAAATTCCTCTGTTTGGAACATCCAGCCCTTCACAATCTGGTCTAGTTTCTCTTCCTAGACTGATTTTCCATTACTCCCCTTCACAGGCAACATTCTGGCCAAACGGGTCCACTCAATGTTTCTCATACCTGGCCTTCCATAACCCATCTCTTGGCCTTTGAGTAGTCTGGAATGCTCTCTCTCCTCACAGCTGCCTCTTAGAATTCATAGTCTTATCCAAAGCTTAGTTCAAGTCCTACTGCCTACATGGAAGGCCTTTTCTGACCCCCTAATTGTTAGGGCTTTTTGCTTCCCGAGATTACTTGATGTTTACTAAATTGTGTACATATGGTTTCCTCCAATAAAATGTAAGATCTTTGAGAGCAGGAATTGTTTCATTCATTGTATTTGTATGCGCCTGGGTGAACTGTCCTAGGAAGATTCTGAAGATCACCTGACAAGGGTCTGGACACTGAACTGCCAAGCATTCAAACTCTACTGCAGACAGCGCAACTCTGAAGGACTGGCCACACAGCCTAAACGCTAAATGGTCGTTGGCCTAAAAGACTATCTTAGGGACAACTCACACAAGGCAAGCACTCACATGGAGATGAGAAGGAGCAATACAAGGACACTCTCAAGGTCTCCCTGAAGAACTCTGGAATCAACTGTGAGACATGGAAGACACTGGCACAGGACCCCCCAGCATGGCATGCCTGCATCCAAAAAGACTCTGTGCTCTATGAGCAAAGCAGAACTGTAGTGGCTCAAAAGAAACGTGAGATGTGCGAATGTAAAACCATCTCTACTCCAAATGCTCACATGGACTACTTGTGCCCAAGCTGCGGTAAAATATTTCGAGGTCATATTGGTCTGATCAGTCACAATTGGACACACTGTACCTTGACCCCGACGTAGTGGTGTCATTTTGGTCTTCTTCAAGCATGAAGAACTACTATGTGCCTGACACATAGTAGGTGCTTAATGAACACCTGTCACATTAAACTGAGTCAAGTTGATGAGTTCCTTATATGACATAGGTTTCAGGATTTACAATCTACCTTTAGCCCAGTCCTACCTGGTTGACCTAGAGGTCCAGGAATTCCTGGTGGTCCTGGACGTCCCTGACGACCAATTCCTGGTGGCCCAGAAGGACCTATAAGTCCAGGCTGCCCAACTGTTCCGGGGTCACCTTTGCAGAAAAAAAAAAGAATAGACTCAGTCCTACTTCATATAGAGCAGTTTAGTTGTTAATAATAGGTTTTTTTATATAAGACTAATTAACTTGTAGGAATTATGAATATATCATATACTATCACAAGACCCACATGATCAGGCAGAGGCAGGAAGTATATACATATCCTTAGAAAGCTTGCCATTCATAGACCTTTATGGGAAAGGGGAATAAGGGAATAAGCCAGGGACTTGCTCAATGATTTTAGATACTACCTCATTTGATCCTTACAACAACCTTCAGAGACAGGTGTTCTTATGATCCCCATTTTAGAGTTGAGGAAACTGAGGCAGATGGAGGTGAAGTGACTTGCCCAGAGTCCCATAGCTAGTGAGCATTTGAGGCCAGATTTGAACTCAGGTCTTCTTGACTCTATGCTCAGTGCTCTATCCACTGAACCTTCAGCTGCCTTCAAGAGCAGAGGTAAGGAGAAATCAGAAGAAAGATGGACTAGGGTGGAATGCTGATCTTTTCAAATATCTCATGATAGGGAACCACAGGCAGGCACATTTCCAGCACATCATACGTGACGTTGAAAATAGGTTATTTTGTTACTACCACGTTAGATGAAAAATAATTCTGTTTCATATATATGATCCCTGTTAGTGTCCTCCTTTGTCGAGCAGAATGTTTGTAGAGTGTTTGTTGATGATTGTTCAAAATAAAGTGCATAATAAAAATAACACTGAGATAGCAGTAAGAATAACTTCCATCCCTCTGACCCCATAAGGTTTATAGAATACTTTCCTTGCAAACAGCCTCTAAGGGAAGTCAGTGTAAACATTATGATCCCCATTTTACAGAAGAGGAAACTAAGGCTCATAAAGGCAAAGGTGGCGGGGGGGAGAAAACTGCCGTTGTTCATTCACCAAGCTAGACTCCATTTTAGAGCAGCTACAGTGAAGGAAGAAGAAGAGCGGCTGAGCCCCTTTGAAGGCACATGAAACAAAGCCCAAGGAATGGACTGGATGAAAAAAGCAGGACTTCGAGATTCAACAAGGAAGAGAAACGACAGCCCCTGATGCAAGGAGACAGAGCTGACTCCCCAAGGTATCACTGAGACACGGCGGGAGGAAGTCCAGGCCTGATGGGTGGCCCTGGATGGGTAGACTTCAAGCGAAACAAGCAGGCCAGGCAAAAAAGGGGGAGAGGGGAGTGGCACATAAGGAGGATGTCCTCAGGTGAGGAAAAATAGGAATCAGGCAGAGAAAGCATGGCTGAGAACACTTGGGACAAGATCAATGGAGGGAAAACCAGGAACAATTTCCTCATCATACAGACCATCTGGACAGAAAGAGGAAATAGATGAAGAGTTTGGGAAATAGATTACGAGTCTGGCACAGAAAGCAGCATGAGAGAGTGGCAATGGGGGACTCCCATTATCCAGACATCGACTGGAGCTCTCTCTGTGCCAAAAACGGAGCAGCTAAGAACTTCCTGAACTGTCTTAATGATAATAGAATACTAACAAGGGGAAATTCTATTCTGGATCTGATTCTCATTAACAGGCAGGAACTGGTTTCTGGGGTGGGTGAAAATGATGGGAACCCTGGAGGGAAGTGACCACGATCTCCTTGAGTTAGTGAGAGAGGAGAAAGTCAGGGTTAGTCTAACAAATGTCCCAGATTTGGGGAAAGCACACTGCAAAGGGTTCACAGGAAGGACAGGTGGGATTGGATGGACTAATTCTACAGGGGCAGTCAGCCCAAGAGGGACCAGGAGATGCTCAAGAACGAAATTCCAAGGACATAAAGAGAAATGATTCCAATGAGGAAGAAAAACAGTTGTTGTCCGAAGAGACCAATGGGACGCATAGGAAATTGACCAACCAACTTAGATTTAAAAGAGCTGAAGATGGAAGGGAGAGTGAGGGACAGAGGATGAATACAAATCCAGGATGTTGCATGGGATGGATAGGGTCAGGCCCAGTAAAGCTCAAGGTGAGTTCTGGCTGGCAAGGGAAATGAAAAACAATGAAAAGGCTGTGGGGCCTAGGGGTGGGGAAAGGCATGGAGGTTTAAGCCGTACTGGAGAACAGGAGATATATTACATGACTGGGCAAGGACAAATATCCTGTTTTTCAAAAAACAGCTAGGGAGAGAGACAGACAGACAGACGGACTGCAAACTACAGGCTAGTGAACTTGACTTTACTTTCTGGGAACATTCTAGAAGGAATTATTAAAGAGATGATCAGAAAAGGTCTAGAAAGGGAAGTGGGGATGAGAAAGAGCCAGCAAGGCTTCATTAGGGAACAAGGCACGCTGGACTCACCTCATTTCTCTTCTTGATACAATTAATAAACTTGTAGGGGAAAGGAATGCTGCTGACATCATTTACCTGGGTTTCAGAAAAGCACTGGTCTCTCAAGGCATTTCTGTGGGAACGGTGGAGAAATGTGGGCTAGATGATACTATAGTTAGACAGATTCTAAACCGGTTGAATGAGCTGACTCTAACAAGAGTTATTAGTCATTTGATATCAGCTTGGCAGGAGCTCTCCAGTGGAGCGCCCTAGGGGTTTGGGCTTGGCCCTGGACCGTCTAAGTGTTTCACATCTTTAGCGATGACTTAGGCCAGGATAGATGACATGATTATCAGACACCAAGCTGAGAGGCAGAACAAACCCACCAGATAGAAAAGCACCAGGATCCAAAGAAATCTTGAACACGGAGCCAAACCGAATAAGCTTACATTTAATTGGGATAAATGTCAAGTCTTACATTTGGCTTCTCAAAAAATTGACTTTCCAAATATGAGACTGATCAAACAATCAGTCAATCAATCAATAAATGTGTGTTAAGTGCCTACTGGGTGGGGGAGGGGGGGAGTAGAGAGCAGCTTGCCAAAGATCTAGGGCCGTGTTGCTGCCAGCTCAGTGTGAGTTAGCAAGTTGATGGGGCAGCCAAGGGAAGTGCTAGGCTGCAGCAGGGGGCACAGCTCCCTGACATATGGAGTCCCACTGGACCCTGCTTTGGTCAGATTCCATCTGGAGTCTTCTGTTCAGCTCTAGCCACCACAAGTTAGGAAGGACAGAGATAAGGTGGAGAGAGTAGCCAAGAGGTGGCAGCCAGGATGGCAAAGGGCCTTGAGTTCATGCCATAAGAAGATCCGCTATTTCAGGAGGTGGCCCAGGGCAGATACCTCATCACTTCCCATCTGGCTGCAGGACTTCATCAGTACCCCCTCCTCTTCTACTTTTCCAGCGTCTCTTTATGTGTTATCTTCTCCCATTAGATTATAAGCTCTTGAGGCCAGGGACTGTCTTTTACTTTTCTTTGCATTCCCAACATGGTGCCTGACACATAAGACACTTAAGAAACATCTGCTGACTACTGACGGTTGGAGGAACAGGGGATGTTTGGTGTGGTCACATGTATGAAGGGCCCATCATATGAATAAAGTCACAAGACTTGTTCTGTTTGGGCTCCAAAGGCAGAACCAGGAGCAATGAGTACAATTTTTAAGAAGACGAATTTGAGCTTGCTATCAGGAAGGCTTTCCTGACAATGAGATCTCCCCCAAAGTGGGATGAGCTGCCTCAGAAAGGTGGGCTTCTTCAAGTAGACCACGGATGGCTCCTTACTAAGTGTGTGGTGGTGGGGATCGGGGATTGGCTGGAACTGATCACCAGTGAAATTCCTTCTAACTCTCTGATTTTGTGCTCCTATGCTCCTCCAGGGGCCCAGAGTAAGTAGGAAGCAGGGGTGTGACCCAGGAGCCTCTCCTGGCTCCAAGCCTAGCACCCCTTCCTCTATACTATACTGTCTCTTAGTATTCAAAGATTCCTTTGAGAGGACCCTGGATTTCCTGCCTAAGACTGATAAGGAGCCTGGTCAGGTACCCAGAATTTTCAAATAGGTTTCCAGCTTCCTTCTCAAGGTCATGCTATAAATAGATAATACAAGGCAGTTGAAGGGACTGTGGAATTCACATAAGGAGAAGGTCATTCATTACATGGCTTGTCATTCAGAATGTCTGGATTTTGTAACACTGGGATCATAATTCTGCAGCTGGGGGAGCTCATTGAGTATTGCGGGTCATGAAGTCTCGAGCTATTTAAACAAGGAAGGTTAATGAGTGGCTTTAACCAAGAACGGGAGGTGGTCTCTGGCAGCTACGTTGGCTGTGTCAGACTTGGGGGCCTCTATGGCATGGGTCAGCCTTACTTGCTGCAAGGAACTGAGGCCTACCCTTAGCTTGTGGGCAGAAGGAAGGTAATAACTTGGAATCAATAAAGGCATGTCAAACCAGCTAAATTGTCATTACTCCCATGAATACCTAGGGGAACCAAGGAGGGGCCATGGTGGTGCATTGTATTCTGGCTTTGGAATGAGAAGGCCTGGCTCTCTCACTTGCTTTCCATGTAACCTTGGGCAAGTCACTTCCCCAACTTGGGTCTCAGTATCCCCCTCTGTAGAATGAGAGGGTTAGACTAGGTGCCTCCAAGGTCACTTCCAGCTTTAGATCTAGGATTTGACACATGACCTTGGGCAAGTCCCGTTACTTTCCTGGGCCTCAGTTTCCTCATACGTAAAATGAGATGGTTGGTTAATCCTATAAACATGGATGTGGCAGGAAAGCTGAGCTTCTCAGCTAGTTGGAATGTTCCCCACACAAATCTCCCTAAGACAAAAAAGCTCAGCAAATTAACGAGAAGCAGTAGACTCCATACCTTTTGGCCCAGCCAGCCCATCCAAGCCAGGGAGCCCTGGGATGCCTGGGGGCCCTGGGAAGCCAGCACTGCCTTTTGGACCACGTGTTCCTTTGAGACCTGGGAGTCCCTTGAGCCCAGGTGGCCCAGGCAGGCCAAGCCCTGGCTCTCCCTTGAGAACCAGCACATGGGAGTGGGGAAGGAAGAAAAGAACAAAGTCAGACAGCGTTTATGCCTTGCCATAGATACACCAAAGAAAGGTAACCATGCCAATTGGTAGTGCATGAGCAAGGGTAATAGGGAGCTCTGACTTTTGATTTCACCAGCATAGGGAGCTCCCAGCAAGGAAATTCCCTCTACTGCCATTTATAGAGGCACTGAGAGGTTATACCTCGGTTGTAGTCAAGGTCACCTAGCCAATACGCAGCAGAGGCAAAACTCTCTAGCCACTATACCAGGCTGTCTCTCAGCAATTACTGGTATTTTTTGTGAGAGAGACAGGAGGGAAGATAAGTGGGGTACTGGAGAAAAGAACACGCCCCGGGAGAGAGCTTGGTGTCAGAAGAAGCAGGAGCTAAGTGAGGGGTGGGGGGCACCAACAAAGGGCTTTGCCCTGAGGTTTAGGGCTCCAGGCCAGCTGCTCTACCCTTCCAGAGCATGGAGTAATGATGAAGGAGAGGAAGTTTAGATTCAACATGGGAAAAACATTTCAACAGCCTGGTCACTTAAACACCATTGTGGTTTAACTTAGGAAGCTGAGAAGGCCTCGGAGATTATTGAAGCTATAATTAGGGGATGGAGATAACATCCTCCAAGAAGTTGGGTTAAACTGTTGTGAAGCCACTCGCAGTGGTATGCAGTGTGTCCGCAATGGTGTGGGGAGGGTGGGCCCCAGCATGGGAAGGTCTCAGAAACACATTCATCATCACCCTCCCTCCTCATTAGAAAGCCATCTGGCAAGGGTTCACTGACACGGCCCAGACATCTTTGTTCGTTCATCCAATCAGATAACTGAGGATTCTAACAACAGGCACCAAAGCGCCGTACTTCCAACATGACCACTGGGACAATTTTTTGAGGTTCAAGGGTTGAAAGAAAGGACAATCCCAACATATGTAACAAAGAATCGTGAAGAGGAATCCAAAACAAGTGGAAGAAGAGGAAGCCAAACCTTTGGACCTGGGAGGCCGGGATGCCCAGGAGAGCCTTGTAGACCACGTCTTCCAGGTGCCCCCGGGATTCCTGGAGGCCCCGGCATTCCCTGGTAACCTGAAAAATGGGGAATAACAGATTCCCAAAGGAGAGAACATTCCAGTTGGTATAAAAAAGAGACCAAGTTCATATGTCTACCCCCTGCCCACGTACTGGCCCCAACAAGAACGGTACACTTTTCAGGACAAATATGACACTTTGTTAGGTAAGGATGCTCACTGGATGGCCCACCCCATTAATATTTTACAATCCAACCTTATCATTCTAGTAACTGTGCTCATGTAACAAAATGAGGGCTACAAATTAGAAATTTGGTTAAGAAAATGACTCAACTGTCTATACCCTTTGACCGAGAGGCCCCACTGCTAGGCATATATCCCAAGGAGGTCAAAGACAGACACAAAGAAAGGTATTATATCCAGCAGGCACCATGAGAGACAATGTGACATAGTGGGTAGAAAACCAGCCTTGGAGTTTGGAAGACCTGGCTTCAAGTCCTACTTCTTACATGTCCTGGCTGGGTGAGACTGGGTAAGTCATTCAACCTGCCACTGCCTCAGGCAGTTATCTATAAATTGTAGGGAAAGCGCTAGCCTGCACTGGAAGAAGGTGTCTTCTCACCCAGGAGTTCCCTATATCAATGATATCATAGGTTCGATGCCTATCCAAAATATTTACAGCAGCCCTTTCTGCGGTAGCTGGAAAAAAACTGGAAACAACCTAGATGCTCATTGATCGGGGAATGGCTAAAGCAATTGTGGTACATGAATGTAATGGAATATTCCTGCCCTGTGAGAAATGAATACCAAGAAGCATGGGAAGACTTAGAAGAAATGTTGCAGGGTCAACTAAGCCAAACCAGGGAAACAATATAAACAATGATGCCATGATGCCGACAACGTAAACAAAAAGAACAAACAAACAAACAAACAAACAAACAAAATCCCCCTGGATTCTGCATTAGTATAACAGTGGAGCTTAGACCCAAAGAAGAGCTATGAGATTCTCCCTTCTTTGCAGAGGTGAGGAACCAGCAACATGAAGCCCTGTGGCCGATAGCTTGCTTCATGTTGAGTTGGTTACTTTTGCCGGACTGTTTTTTCCCTCCGTTCTTCCCATTCTTTGTTACAAGGCATGGCTCTCTGAGTAAGGGATGGGGAAGGCATACATTGAGAAATGAAGGTGGTGTAAAACCAAAAAGATATCAATAAAAAAAATTGTAAATAAACGGGGGCTATAATTTTAAAATACAGCAACATCTAAGAAGTGAATTACGCCAACAGGATTTGGAACCATTTCCCCTCCCATTTGAGGCCTGCCTGTGTAAAGAGCTTAACTCCCCACATAAAATTCTGGTAAATAAAGCTCAAAAATCAATCTCCCAAATCACACACTCACAAATCAAATCTGCTCTCTCCCAAACCCTTTAGGGATACATTTGGGAACTGTTTTCAGCTCAACCACTTCAAGAGAACAAATGCTGTGAGAACACAGCAGAATTTGCAGGCAATTCCTCAAAACAACAGTCCTAAGAAACTCAGAGGAGAAGCACAGCCAAAAGAAAATATTATTTTCGTTTCTACGTGCAAGAAGTGTGCTTGTTTCCCCCCACCCCCACCCCTTATTACAGGCCTGTAGATCCATGTCTTGTCAGTGACGGGCCTCAAGAAATTGGTTTCACAAGTAGAGGAGGGTTAGACCAGCAGCTTGTTTAAAAGAAATGGGGGAAGGTAGGAGAGGTTTACCACATACCTTTGAGACCTAGTGGTCCAGGAAGACCAATGCCAGGGCTACCTGGTTCCCCTTTACTACCAGGGATTCCTGGCAAGCCTGGCACCCCTGGAAGTCCTGGGTCACCTGGAGAGAAATAAAGGCATTTTAAGAGGGTATCGATGAGACACAATCAATCAGCAGGTATTTATTAAGCGTTTACCCAGTGCTAGGCACTGAGGCTGCAGAGACAAAAATAAAACAGTCCCTTGCCCCCAGGGAGCATATATTCTATTGAGGAACATCTAGCTTACATTCCATCGTGGGATGCCAAAAGGTATAAATGCTGGAGTGACACAGATTTCCCTTCCTACCTGGAAGACCTACATCACCATCCCTGCCGGGTAGGCCAGGCAAGCCAGGAGGCCCTGGTTGGGATATAGTCAGACCTGGATCACCTTTGGCACCTGAAAATGAGAGAGCACTCATGTGACTGAGGGTCTGTTGGGTTTCTCCCTAAGTGACATTAAACGATCAATGGACATTTTTAAAAATTCCTCAAATACTCAAGTGGATGTGACCTAATGAATGGAGGCATTCCCTCTACTGTGCAGATTGCTCCAACCTATGGGACTCTCGTCCATGTCCTCCCAACAGTTCCCCAGATCAGGACTTCCTCCCAGTTCTCCTGACATTGCAAGGATACCAGTGACCCATCAGCTAACCCTCACTTTTGCCACATGACCAGCTCAGTTGCTTTTATAAATTGCACACACTTTGTGTCCCCTCCTTTATGTTGCTTCTTCCTCTTCCATTTTTATACTAGATTGCAGCCTGCCCACAGTCAGCCAACAAGCAATTATTAACTGCCTACTATGTGACTAAGTCTTGTGGTTTCAAAGAAAGGTAAAAAGTGGTCCCTGCCCTCAAGGAGCATGTCATAGTCAAATGGGAGAGAGAGCAGGCAAACAGCTATATACAAACAAGCAGAAGATAGAAGAAACAGTGGAAGGCACTGGAATTAAGGGAGATTGAAAAAGACTTCCTGTAAAAAGTGGGATTTTAGCTGGAACTTGGAGGAAGCCAGGAGATGGAGATGAGGAGGGAGGAAATCCAGGCATGGGGAACAGCTAGAGAAAATGGCCAGTCAGGAGACAGGGCATCTTGTGTGAAAAACAGCAAAGAGGTCAGTGTCACTGGACTGCAGAGTAACTTGGTGTGTTGTAAGGTATATGAAGACTGACAAAGTAGGAGAAGGCCAAGTTATGAAGGGATCTGGATGCCAAAGAGAGATTTTATATTTGATTCTGGAGGTTATCAGGAGCCAATGGAGTTTATTGAGAGAGGGGGTGACATTGTCAGACTTGTGCTTTAGGAAGAGCACTTTGGTGGCTGAATGGAGGATGGATTGGAGGGTGGATGTACTAGAGGATGGATGGAGTGGAGGATGGAATTTTGAATGGAGGATGGATTGGAGGGTGGATGGAATGGAGGATGGATGGAATGGAGGATGGAGTGAGGAAATACTTGAAACAGGCAGACCCACCAGCAGGCCACTGCTGATGGCAATGTCAAAGAAGAAAGATGTGGGGGAGGTACATTAAAGATGTTATGAAGGTAGAATTGAAAGGTTTGGGTGACATACTGGATATGAGATAGTGAGGAGTTGAGAATGACACTTAGGTTGTGAGTCTGAGAACTAGGAGAATAGTGGTGGCCTTGACAGTAACAGGGAAGTTTGGAATGGGGTCTGGTTTAGGGGAAAAAATAATGACCTCTGTTTTGTTTATGCTGTTTCAGATGTCTACCTCTCTGCTATACCCTGGGTCAGGAATGTGGAACCTGTGGCCTGGAGGCCACATGTGGCCTTCTTAAGGTCCTTGGGTGAGGCCTTTTGACTGAATCCAAATCTCACAGAACAAATCTCCTTAATATAAGGATTTGTTCTGTAAAACTTGGACTCAGTCAAAAGGCCACACCCAAAGATCTAAGAAGGTCACACTGGCCTAGAAGCTGTAGGTTCCCCACCCCTGCCCTGGGTGATCTCCCACTTCAATCCTTTGTAAACTCCCAGTAATACAACATCATCAAAAGAATACTGATATTTAAAAGATGGGCTTTTGTTTCAAAAAGAAACTGGAAATCATTAAAAGAACTTCCCAGTTTCCCAAAGGCTACCCAGCCCACTCTCCTACTCCTGTTCAATTCTGGGCCAAGGTCATCCATTTTTAGCATCTGTCTAAGATATGTATACTGAAAGGTAACTTCTCTCAGTCAATGCAATTGCAAATCATAATCTAGATAACAGACATTCTTCATCCATTTGGTTTTTCCCATGTGGATGGTTGAGCCAAATTCTTCATCAGAAATGGGAAAGTTTAGAGGAAGGATGATAGATTTGGGGGAAAATAGAATGAATTTTGTTTTGGAAATGTTGTATTTTAAATGCTTATGAGCCATCCAGGTAAAAGTGTACAGTAGTCAGCTGAAAATATGAGACTCAGAAGAAAGATGAAGGCTGGATATGTAGATCTGGGAGTCATCTGTAGAGAGATGATAAACCTATAGGAGCTGATGACATCACCAAGTGAGACAGTAGAGAGAGAGAGAGAGAAGAGGGCCCAGGATAGAGCTTTGGGGGCTATCCTTGTTTAGCAACCAAGAAGGTAATAATTATCCAGCAAAAGAAAATTAAAAGGGCCAGTCAAGAAAGCAAGAAGAGCCTCTAAAGAAAGCAGTGTTCTAAGAGCCCAGGTAGGAGGAGGGAGGAGATGATGACAACACAAAAAGATGAGGGAGGACAAGAAGAATGAGAAAGAAGGAATGGTTGTTGGGTTTAGCAGGTCAGAGATCAAAGATAACCTTAGAAAAGGAAATTTCAATCAAGATTTCAAGAGATTTAGGGGTGGAAGAAACAGACTAGATAACCCTTTCTAGGAGTTTGGCTCTGAAAGGCAGAAGTGATCTAGGATAAGACCTTGAGGGAATGGCAGAGTCATGAAGGCAATGGAAGATAGTGACTAAAATACCAGCAAAAAGGCTATAATCATGAACTCAAAAAAGTATTCACTATAACCATGTCTAATTTTTAACAAGATTCAAGGTTCAACATTAGGGAAATTATAAATAAATCATATTAACAACTGAAATAAAAATTACATGATGATATCAGTAGCTGCAGACAAAGTCTTTGAAAAAATACAGCACTCATATACATTAAAAGCACAAAAAAGCTTAGGTGTGGAAGGACCTTCCGTTAATATGAGAAACAACACCTATATGAAATAAAAGCTGGCACTATTTGTAATAAAGAAACATAAGGAATTTTCCCATTAAGAATGAGGATAAAGCAAAGATGTCTAGTATCTTGGCTCTAATTTGACACAGTGATAGAAATGCCAACTACAACAATTAGATACACAAAAGAAATTAAGGGAATAACATAAGTTAGGGGAGGCAAAAGCATTCAAAACAACATGATGGTTTACTTAGAAAATCCTGGAGATTCGACAACAAAAAAAAAATCAGTCCAAACAATTAACAGCTTCAGTAAAATAGCAGAATTCAAAATAAACTCACAGAATAACCAGATGTCCTGTATATTACTAATAAAAAGCAGAAACAGGAAAAAAAGTGCTTTCAAAGTAACTATGAAATACATAAAATATTTGGAAGTTAATTTAATGAAACACACTCCAGACTTATATGATTACAACTACAAAACACTTTCCACAGAAATAAAAAATTGGAGTGATATCCATTGGTCATAGATGGCTTGCACCAATAAAATAAAAATTATGGTGCTACACCTATAGGGGTTCATTTATAAGACTAGACCAAATAACAACAAAGCTCATCTGGTGGAGGTCAATAATCTCAATGGAAACAATGAAAAAGATTACAAGAAAGCAAGGCTGGCATTACCAGATCTCAAACTACATAAAGGAGTAATCATTAAAACTCTTTGGTACTAGGTAAGACAGAGAAAAGCTGATCGACAGAACAGACTAGGTAAGCAAGATCCAAAAATGACTGAACATAGCGGCTTATGGTTCATTAAACTCCAAAACATAACTTTTGGGGTAAGCACTCCCTATTCAGCCAAAACAGCTGGGAAAACTAGAAAGGAGTTTGGCAAAAATTAGGTTCTGACCAACATTACACCACATACCACAATGAGCTCCAAATGGATAGAGGACTTCAATATAAATGGTCACATAAAAAAAAAAAAAAACAGAGGAGAATGGAAGGTGGTACCTTTCAGAACTATGGTTTTACAGAAAGTTCAAAATTAAACAAGGGGTAGTGGTTACAAAAGATAAAATGGACAATTTTGATGATATAAAATGCTGAAAGTTTTTGCACAAATTAAATCAAAGTAATTAGACTAAGAAGAGAAAGGTCTATTGGGAGAAAGTCTTCATATAAAAGTCTGATATCCAAGATATAATACAGAATATACTAATACAAATATGTGAGGCTAAGTTCCATTTTCCAATAGATAACCGATGAAATTGTTTTTCAATGATTTGAAATGATGACAAATGAATTTCAAAAAAAAAACCCCACAAACTACCAAAAACCATATGAAAAATACTACACTAACAATAAATACATATTAAAGTAACTCTAAGGTTTTACTTTGCACCCAAAAAATGACAACAAAAGATAGAAATAATCAATGTTGGAGGAACTGTGGGAAGACGGTAACACTGAAACATTGTTAATGGAGCTGAATTGGTTCAACTATTCTCAAAAAACTATGGATCAATGTGAGAAAAGGGACTAAATTGTTCCTATCCTCTGACTCAGATATACCACTACTAGGCAAGGACCCTAGAGAAGTCAATGACAAAGGGAAAGGTCTCAAATATAGTAAAATATCATTGCAGTCTTTTTATGGTAGTTTAAAAAAAAATTTAAAATCAAAATGGGTGTCCATTAATGAAAAATAGCTAAACCAATTGTGACATATGAATGTAATACAATATTATTATATTCTAAAAAACAATGAACATGAAGAATACAGAAAAGTAAGGGAAGTTTTATATGAACAGATGCATAGTGAAATAAACAGAACCAAGAAAACAATATACCTGAAGACTACAATAATGAAAACAAAGAGAATACTAAAAGGAAGTCAAACTCTGAGCAATTATGATGATAAATACTGGATCTGGAGAAAAGCCTAATCAAATGAAGCTCTCTCTTTTTTGGTAGAGAGGTAGGAGCAGAGATGATGCACAATGTTGCCTACATTCTCAGACAAAGTCGCTGTGCTTTTCTCTGTTACAAGACCAACCTTCCCACTGCCTATGCTATTTCCTCAATTTCTTTTTTGTGTCTAATTGCTGTAGCTGGCATTTTTCTTTTGAGAGAGATTCAAAATAGGTGTGTGGGGGGGGAGTAATAATCAGAAATGACCTTAATATAAAATGAGATATCAATAAAACTAAATTTTTTGAAAAAGAGAGAAAAATATACACAATTACCATAACAATATAAAGGAAATCAATACTAAAAGATAATTGAATTTAGATCAATGTAAGAGCCAACCTCCTTACTAGAGAATTAATGTTGAAACATACTTGCCTCCTCTTGGGAGGTGAGGGACTACAGGTGTCAATGTATTGGTTTGTTCTGCTTTACTGTATTTCTTTGTTACAAGGGAGAGATATACTGGGGGCACTTACTGATAAATGACAGTGATGAAAAAAATAGCATCAATAAAACATGTTTTAAAAAAGATCATAAGCAGTAGCACATCATAAAAGGGTGAAGAGTGGTAGAAAGGAAGATAAAGCTGCAGGAAGCTTGGCTTGAGACCAAACTAGGCCACATCATCCCAAGGGCGTTTATAGATGAAACTGGAAGGACAACAGACACACCAAAATGGAACAGATTTGTTAGCATTTCTATAACAAACTATTTTCATCATCAACGACAGTGGAATCACCACATTTGGACTCAAACTCCTTGGCTCCCAACATGCCATATGAGAAAGTGGAAATGACACTAAAGACAATTAAAAAAAAGGGGGGGGGAAAGCAGCTGTACCAGACCCAGAATGCCCAGAATAAACCCATGCTGGAGGTGACACAATTTTGAAAGCATTGAGGGATCGATTCTCAAGATATCTGAAAGAAGAGAAGATATCAAATGGCTGAGAAAAATAATCGCAGAGAGTGTTATTTCCAAAATAAAAAGGCAAGTGAAGGGAAATCAATAAATACTGACCCATATGCCTACTTTCTTATGTCCATAAAATCTTTGTGAGAATTACTCTTTTGGCACTTGGCACTCCTGCCTCTGACAATTTACTATCTGTGTGACCTTGAGCATGCCCCTCTCTGGGCCTGAGTTTCTTCATAGGTACAATAAGGAGGTGTGCCGCTGAGATTGCGTCTAGCTCGAGATCCGAGATCTTCTCATTCTTTCATCTACATACACACCAAGGGTATCTTTGATGTAAATAAGAAGGGAACAAGTAAGCAAGCTTTTGCAAATGATTTTATTCAGCAGAGAACATCTTCACACTCACATGACTGAATAAAAGGTATAGAGAATATAAGATTTATCGTTAGTTGTTTGTCGAGTCTAACAAACAGTTGATCTTGCAGAGCAAAAAGCAGTCTTGAAGGCCAAGATGCTGCTTGTGTGGATAAAATTTATACAAGATTCCTTGGGAGATGTGGTCATAGAGAGAACTTTGTTCAGTGATCCTCAGCTCATCGGTATCACATGATGTACAGAAAACAGGATGATGTAAGCTTGTCAAACACACCTTTCACAGCTGAGGAAGATTTCCAGGGCAAAGTCCAAATGGAAGAAAGATTCCCAATAAGGGAATCTTTATTCCTCTCTGGGCTCCACTCCTGACTCGATGTAAGCTCCATGAGGGCAGAAACTGTCTTTCTTCTGCTTGTATTTGTATTCCCAGTACTTAGCACAAAGTTGGACACACAGTAGGTGCTTAGTAAGTACCTGTTTATTTGTTGACCTATAAATGAAGTCCTCCAAATGCTCCTACCTGTGGATGATGTGTTGCTTGCAACAAACACTAGAATATTACAAACCTTCTTTGATGAAGATCAGAACTACTCAAAAGAGATCGGCCTAACAATCCACATAGGAAAAACCAAATGGATTAAGAATGGCAACAACTCAGACTGGCACACAGGTAGCCAGGCAGCCCATTGAGTTAGACCATAAATGAATGATGAATGAGTGAATGATATACCTCTTATAAAGTTCTTACTATGTGCCAGGCACTGTGCTAAGTGTCAAAGATACAAATACAAGTAAGAAAAATAGTCTTTTCCCTTAAGGAACTTACATTCTAATAAAGGAAGATAACACATAAAAGGGGCAGGAGGAGGACATGGTGGCATGACTTTACAATGTTATTAAAATAAAAATTGTTCTGTTCTCCTTACTTCCTTCTGCATCAGTTCATATAAGTCTTCCCAATCTTCTCTGAAACTCTCCCTCTTTCATTATTCCTGCTATTTCATTAGTATTCCATTACATTTGCATGCCACCATTTGTTTAGCCATATCCCAATGCATGGACATCTCCTTAGTCTCCAGTTCTTTGTAATTGCAAAAAGAGCCATTACAAATATTTTAGTACATTTGGGTCCTTTTCGTCTTTCTTTAATCTCTTTTTGGTATAAGCTTAACAGTGCTATCACTGAGTCAAAGGGTATGCCCAATTTAGTGACTTGGGGGCCTAGTTCCAAATTACTTTCCAAAATGGCAGGACCAATTCTCAGTAGTGCATTTTTTTCATATACGTTTATTGATAAGCTTAGATTTCTTCTTACGAAAAACTGCCTGTTCATATCCTTTGTCTGGGAAGTGGTGTAGAAGCCTGATTCTGGGCAAGGGAAGATGAGAGCTCACCTATCAGCGCTTCAGGACTCAGAGACAGGCCAAATGTATATAAATATATATACATACATACGTGTGTGTGTGTGCAGAGAAAAAAAGAGACAAAGACAGAGAAAAAGAGACAAGGAGAGAGAGAGAGAGGAAAAAGGGAGAGAAAGAGAGAGAGTGCTTGACTGGGCACTGTAGCTAGACAATGAGTTCAGCCCAGAATTGAACTGGAGGAAAAGAGTCAGCTGGAGTGTCTTTGGGAAACGGCAGTGTCTTCAGTGATCCCAAGTTGGTCTCACATAGAAAATTCTGTCTTTAACACCAATATTATTCACTGATGCTTTATGGTTGCTGTGAATTAAGGAACAGTACAATCACACAAGAATTGAAATTGTGGGTGACCTGAAGGACAGGGGAGACATTTATGGCAGATGTAAGCAGCCGGGCTACATTGCCAACAATGAGTGGCACACAAGAAGCAAGAGATGTCACTCAAGAAATGTAGGTTTGCACGCATGCCCTTTGATGTAGCAATTCCATTACTGGGTCTGTATCCAAAAAGAGATTTAAAAAAAAGGAAAAGGAACTATATGAACTAAAATATTTATAGCAGCTCTTTTCTGGGGGCAGAGAATTAGAAATTGAAGGGATGTTCATCAATTGGGGAATGGCTGATTGCGGTATGTGATTGTGATGGAATACTATTATACTACAAGAAATGATGAGCAGGATGCTCTCAGAAAAACCTGGAAAGATTTGCATGAACTGATGCAAAGTAAAATAGACTGTGTACAAAGTAACAGCAATAGTGTAAGATGATCAGCTGTGAATGACTTAGCTATTCTCAACAATACAATGATCCAAGACAACTCTGAAGGACTTAGGATGAAAAATGCTATTCATCCCCAGAGAAAGAACTCATAGTGTCTGAATACAGATTGAAGCTTACTTTTTTTTTACTTTCTTTATTTTTCTGGAGGTTTTTTTTTTTTGGTTTATGTTTTCTTTCATAACATGACTATTATGGAAATATGTTTTGCATGGCTATACATGTATAAGTACCTAAAAAACAGAAATGTAGGTTTGGAAAAGGAAATGAACTGGTCCTATTTTGAGGGAGGAGTTAAAACAGATAAACAATAGCCCAGAGATTGCCCTGGTCTCTATGGAATGTGAAAAGATCAGTGGAAGAGCTTCCAGTACATTAAATAGAGCCTTCATGAAGAGTTGATGGGAAGACAGAGGAATGAATTGCCCACCATGAGAAGGCGCAGACAGACCATGATCGGACCCACTAGAGCGAGTTGTCCCATCAGTGAGATCCTAAATAAACTGAAACCTTTGCCAGCGCCAAGGTAAAACCTGACTGAACTTACCTGAGACTCCTGGGGGACCTGGATTTCCTGCCACGCCTTGGATGCCTTTTTCACCCGCAGGGCCTGGTAGACCCAAACCAGGAGGACCCATTGGCCCTCTGTTCCCAGGGAGACCTGGCAAACCTGGCTTCCCAGGGAGACCTCTTTCACCTTTTACAGCAAAGCCACCCTGAAAAGGGAAAGATAGACAATGGAAACAAAAAGCCTTAATGGTCAGAGCCACCAGGACAGAGCTGACTCCAAAGGAGCAGTGGGGCCCAGCATCGTTCCCGCTAAGCTGTCCATATGCTGTCCTTACCCCTACACATTATAAACTTAATTATAATCCAATGCACACATTTGTTCTTCTCCATGGGATCCCAGGCTTAGAAATTTCAGCACAACCTTTCTGAACTTCTCCTATACTTTATCCTGGTCTTCCCCCCATTCCCCAAACCCCAGATAACCTCAATGCCCTATAGCTGTCCCAAACCCACCATGACAACATCCTCCCCAAAGCCCTGTAGGAAGACTACAGAATCATAGACTGCTCATTTTCCAGAGGAGGAAACTGAGTCCCGGAAAGGGGAAGGGACTTGTCTATGGTCACACATAGGACTCTAAATCTAGAGCTGAAAGGGTCACCCAGTCCAACCCCTTCGTTTTATATAAGAGGAAACTGAGGCACAGGGAGGGGCCTTGTCCAAGGTCACACATAGGTAGGTAGTGTGAAAGATGGGATTTTAACCTAGGTCCTTTGAGTCCAGGACTAGGGGTCATTCAGTCATTCGCATAAGTAGGAAGTGGCATGTCCAGGTCCCACGGACTCCAAATCCAGTGCTTTCCCCCCTGTGTCAGGCTGCCTCTCATCCCCACCGCTACAAAATGACCACAACCCGTTTTCTCCCACCACTCCAAACTCCCATTCCTCAGCTAAATGACAGGAAAGCAAGCTGATTAAATTAATTCACACCAAGCTGTGACTGACTAACAACCCTGAACTATCCCACGGGGTTTGCTAGTTAATATAAATTAATGTCTAGTTGTGGTGTGGGTGTAGGGGGGGTGTGGGGGGGGAGGGGTGGAATATACAGGCTACTCTCTCCAATCCCATCCCTCATTTTACTTCTTCTATGCGGCAAAGGAAGGTAAGGTTGTGTAGTCAGCCTCCTTCCCAGATGGGGATATCACCCAGCCCTCCACTCCATTCATGGTTATTCCTGTGGCTAAATGACATCCATCTCCCCCAGCAGTCCCATCGAAGGTGGAGGGAGCTGCCCCACCCAAAGCCAAGGGTGACTTGGGTCTCTACCCACCTGGAGGGGCTCCCAACAGGTGACAGGTTGGCGTACCTCTTAGCCAGGAGCTAAGACCCCTGTGCCATGGGCAGGCTCATCTCAAAGAGAGAAAGATTTAGGCGTCCCGAGTTAGCGGTCTAGGGCTGCAGGCTCCACCCATTCCCCCTATCATTTGGCCCAACTAACCTGAGAATTGCTTTCTTTGACTACATCAACGGAGTCATAATTATAATCATTTACATGAACAGCTTGTCATTTATGTCTAATTACCCTGCAGCACAAAACAATTATGCATATCATGAAATAGGTGTCGGATTAACTTTGTTGTAAATCTGATTTGGGGATAACACTAAAATCTGCTCATGTACGCTCAATATTCATAGTTCATAGGATCTGAGAGCCAGAGCCAGAAGTGAACTCAGCAGCAAGTTAGTAAAGCCATCCTCATTTTACAGGTGAGGAAACTGAGGCCTGGGGAGATGAAGTGACTTTTGACAAGGTCCTACAGGTGAATACCCTGGGTCCCAATCTCACCGTAATGAAGACTCCAGGCTTGTCTCTGTCATATATCAAAGGTAGAGGGGTGGGCCCAGTACCCCAAGTGAGAAAAAAAACCTCCCACTGACCCACAGTAACTCCAGATGGAAGAAGTGTCTTAACAGTCTCTGCCAATCTCCTACTTTGACTTATGAGTCCATCCTTTTAAGAACTGGTGATCTGTTCTTAAGCGCAGCTAGGAGGATCTGACCTAAAGTCAAGAAAATCTGAGTTCAAGGGGCAGCTAGGTGGCACAGTGGATAGAGCTCCAGCCTTGGAGTCAGGAGGACCTGAGTTCAAATCCAGCCTCAGACACATAACACTTACTAGCTGTGTGACCCTGGGAAAGTCACTTAACCCCACTGCCTAGCCAAAAAGCAAAAAAAAAAATCTGAGTTCAAATCCAGCCTAGATGCTTATTATTATATGACCCTGGGCAAGTCACTTACCCTGTGTCTGCCTCTGTTTCCTCATCTGTAAAATGGGGATCATAACAGCACCTACCTCCCAGGGTTGTTCTCAGGATTAAACGAGCTAATAGCTGTAAAGCATTTAGCACAGTGCCTGGCACACAGTAAACACTACAGAAATGTTAGCTACCATTAGTATTATTATTATAGTCTGTGTCAGCCTCAGTCTGAATCTCTGTTCTGGCTTAAGAAAAATCCTTAACTAGCAATCTGCAGAGAAAGAAAAGCAATAATGAGTGAACTCACAGGTTTTCCTTTGATGCCAGGAAGGCCAGGCAAGCCATCTTGTCCTGGAGTGCCAGGCAAACCAGGAATCCCTGGAGCCCCTGGGAAACCAGCATCTCCTTTGTTACCCTTCATTTCTGGGAAAGTGAGAGTATCCCCTGGACTTCCTTTTGGACCTGGCAATCCTGAGGTACCTGGAACTCCTGGAAGGCCCTGAGACCCAAAAAGAGAGAAAAAATGCTGTTTTCCCTTCACCTTCTCAGAGGCAACGTATATGTTTACTGTGTACAGAGCCTTGTGAGAGGCTATGTCTGAGAGGTGGGGGGCTAGGGATGAGGAATACTGCATACACTCTAAGATCTGCTTGCTGTGTTATTTCATTTGGTTAAACTGGTTCTTTTTCTTTTCTTTTTCATTCCTTATTACAAGGGATGACTTTCTAAGTGGTAGAAGGAACAAACTGGGAAATAAAAATGAAGAAAAACAAGAGAACTTTTTTTTTTAAGAGGCACTGCCTCGGAATGGCTGGTTCAGAGTAATCAATTAATAAATGCTTGTTGATTGGTTGATTTCAACTCATTTAAAAGCTCCACCTTTAAAACATGCTTTTATATGTGAATCCCCCCACCCCTTCCAAAACAGGAATCATTTCCTCTACCCCTTTTCCCTGCAACGCATGCGATACTTACTGGCAAGCCTACCGGCCCAGTGGCACCGACATTTCCTTTGGCACCTTTCTGCCCAGGGGAACCACGAACTCCTGATAGACACACACACACACACAAAGGGAATTGCATGTCGGCAGGGCCTTTGGCAGCCCTCAAGTCCACCCCCCCCCATTTATAGAGGAGGAAACTGAGGCCCAAGGAGGGCAAAGGATTTGCCTGAGGTCACTCCCAGTATCAAAAATCTAGAGCTGGAAGGGAGCTCACAGGCCATGTAGTCCAGTCTCCTTATTTAACAGATGAGGAAACTGAGGCCCAGGGAGGGGAAGGGACTTGCCCAGGGTCACAAAAACAGGAAGTGCTCAAGGCATCTTACCACCATCCCATATAGTTTGGAAAAAGAATCTCTATTTTAGCAGAGACTTAATTTTCATAGAAAGAATGATTTCTGCTTCTTGAAATCAGGGTCACATCCTTCCTAGGCGAGCACAAAGTCCCCGCGTACATGACAAACACATGGATTTGTTCATTAGGCAGCTATTCATTCCTTGAAGATTCGTGCCCACCAAGGACTAGACAATTTGTGCAGCGCATACAGTAGCCAACAGCCATCCCCTCTTAGGAAAGAGAGCAGAATAAGCATATCCCGGCCGCCATCCACGTTCTCTGGCCTTTGCTTTTCCTGCCGTTGGTTTGACACTCTGCTTTGGCTTAGGAGAGGCCTTGATGGGCAAAGAGCAGAAGCAGCAAGATGGGAAGGTGGAGGGTGGGGGAAGAGGAAGCTAGGAAGCCACTGCCATTTCAGCTAGGCAGCTGAAATGAAAGCCAGCTTCACCGAGACAGTGTTGTCCAGTGGCTAGAGAGCAATTAGCAAGATCTGGGCCAAGTCCAGTGTCTGCCTCAGACTGGCTGCCTGGCTCTGGGCAAGTTCCAAAAGCTCCCACTGCCACAGGTAACTCTATGTAAGATGTCAAGGTTGGGAGCAGGTGCTGATCTGGATGACCGTAGACAAGGACCTCACCTGTCAGTGCTGGCCCAGGTACCCCTCTGAACTCTTGCTAAGCTGGAGAGCAGGGGCCAGCCTGCATTGGGAGAAGGAAGTCTTTCACCAAGAGAAGGAAGGAAGGAAAGAAGAAAGGGATGGAAGGAGGAAGGAAGAAAAAGGAAGGAAAAATGAACAAAGGAAGGGAAAGAAAGAAAGAAAGAAAGAAAGAAAGAGAAAGAAAGGAAGGAAGGAAGGAGAGAGGGAGGGAAGGAGGGAAGGAAGGAAGGAACAAAGGAAGGGAAGAAAGAAGGAAGGAAGGAAGGAAGGAAGGAAGGAAGGAAGGAAGGAAGGAAGGAAGGAAGGAAGGAAGGAAG